AAAATTGAAAGCTTCTTCTCAGAAGGAGGAGGAGACAGGAAGAAACAAAGAGGAGTGTGTGTCTTTCTTTTGTTTTTTACTTTCCTTTTAAAGGGAGAAAGGGTCAAATACCATCTCTTGAGGTGCAGAGTGGTCTCCTGACCCCAAACCACCCAATCCTTGCATTCACAAATGACATAACACCCCACCTTATTTAGCTTGATCCAGCCCACTCCAATTTGGATCTCTAGTTGCAGTTTGAATTCTGCCAACAGTTCATTAGAAGTGAGGACAATTTTCACAAACTTCACCCACCACCGCACAGTGTGTGTGTCAGCTCCCACTGCAATATGTTTTCCATGCTGTAAACTGCATTATCCTCATGATTTTCAAAAAAATTAAAGTTATCCTTACCAAAGCTGGAACCATCTGATGATGATGAAGAAAGCAGTAAGAATCCAGATTTACATTGTTCCGATGCTTCGATGTCCATATCTCCAAAAGCAAAGGTAAGCTGTCTTCCTGTAGCCCCTTGAATGCTCCACTGGCAGGATGTGAAGTTTGGGTAAGTACCAGGGTAGTTCTTGGAGGTCAATGTACCACTGTAAGGTGTGACCACAGAATGACCACAACCATTCCCTGTAAGGCAAGGGAATAAGATGAGGTGGTGCCATTTTTAATAAATCTCAATCATTACACGGGAGACCACAGTTTAGGAAACTCCTCAATTGCATGGGAGCTACTGCAGAAAAGGACCGCTATAGCAAACACTAAAGGTCAGGCCACTGAGCCTTCTAATTCACTCTCGTTAGCCCTAGTCATGGTCGTTCTCATTCCTGTGAAATTGATCCTATTTATTTTTGAACTGCAGTCACCATTTCCCAATTGGTATCTCATAGGAAGCCACCATCTTAAGACTATAAGGTATTAGATCAAATGATTAACCTAGGAGTGTGGTCTGCCTTTTATGGATTGACATCAAATGCATCTTAGCACGTTAGAGACAGCTTTTCCGGTTAGCAAGATGATTTTGTACGTATATTCCTTTATCTAATACGCGACTGTCCTCTTAACATTTTGGGAGATACAGAAGATTTCTTTTACACGGGACAAGAAAAAGAATGTAGCCTGTTCTCAATTTCCTGAGCCCAGGACAGTCTGCCTCTTTCATTTTCAGCAAAAATTATAAAAAAAATTAAAAATGTGCACGTGGACATGGGTGGGAATCAGTTTGGTGGAGAACAGGGGTATCTGTGGGAATTGGTTTTCGTCCATGACCTCCTCCACCTCCCCATCCACCCCCACCACTGATGACTGAGAAAACAGATGAATAAGATTATGTTCCGGGGTTAGTGTTTAATCAAGTGCTTGGCCAAAGCCATACCCAAAGATTTTCTACAATCCCACAAGTTGCAGGCTTTGTGGATTTATCTGTTTCCATATTATCTGCTCCACGTGGGGTGGATTTTTCACTTCCTGAAGAAATGTAAAATCAGATAAAGGGAATTTATTCTGTCTTTATCTAACAAGGATAAGAGAAGAAAAGTATTCAAACGCCTCTTTCTCATGCAGGTTTGATGCCAGTTTGGCCACATAATGATTAGTGCTAAGAGAACCAGTTCAGGATCAGTATATAGGCCAGAGGTGAGAAGTCTTTGGCCCACCAGAGTGCATCTCCGACCAATCCCAGCGGAGCCAATAGCTGGGGATGATAGGAGCTGTAGTACAACATCGGCAGAACCATAGTTTGCCCTGTTGCCCAGATCAAAATTGCTAAGTTCCTCCACAATAAAATTCTCGAGAGGGTACCTGTGAGAGTCTGTTACAGGGGGAAAGAAGGCAAAACATGATTTTGATGAAAAAACCTGTTTTTTTAGGGTTATTGTTGCTGGTTTTAATACTTCCATTTTTGTTTTTGTTTTCTATTTCATGTGTTGTAACTCACCCAGAGTAGTGGTTCGACACGAATGGGAGTGGGATATAAACTTTTTGTTTTTGTTTTCTATTTCATGTGTTTTAACCCACCCAGAGTAGTGGTTCAACACGAATGGGAGTGGAATATAAAATGAACGAACGAACGAATGAATAAACAAACAAACAATTGCTGTTGTCTTGTGGCACCCCTAAAGATGAATACTTCTTATTTGACACAAACCTTCATGAATTGTAGCTTATTTCTTCAGCTATAGTGCTGAATACTTTGAAACATGTACAGTCTGAGGCTAGAATCACCTGTGCATTTAAAAAATGGCTTTTATTATCATGTAGAATTACTCTCCTGGTTGAACTAAATTTCTTTCCCCCCAAGTCATAGTTTATATTATTCCTGCGTTAAACATCACCACAGATTCTCCAGCTGGTGTAAGAGAAGAGACTCCCTCATCAGCTTCCCCAACACCTACAGAATGGGAATTAAGCTTTTATCACCTTGTATTTTATTTTAGGGCCTTCAAGAGTCTGCCTCTGAAACTGCATTCCTTATGCCCTGGGTCCTTATACAAAAAAGTTAGTGAGATAGTGATGTCCTAAGATAATATCCTGCACATTTTGGATACATTGCAGGACTCTATATTTCTGCAAGCAGCTTCTGGTATCTTGTCTGTGCATGGAACCCAGGAGCTATATATTTTTAACATACAATTTGGGCTGTCTTTGCATTATTGTTACACTTGCTTTGGTTGCGTGATTTAAAATGTGAAACCTCTGCAAAGCTTATCGTGTTTGAGACACTCATTGAAAGAGACCACATCTTCCTCTCTACGTCTGCTCAAGAGCGTCAGGAGAAGTCATTCTCTTGGTCCTGCCACCTTCACAGGTGCATTTGGTGGTGACATAGGAGAGGGCCTTCTCTGTGGCTTCTCCCAGACACTGGAACTCCCTCCCACAAGAAGCTAGGCTGGCCCCATCTTTGCTTTCCTTCTGCAAGCAGGCAAAGACCTTTCTGTATTCGCGAAGCCTTTCACGACTGGGATCTAATGGTTGTTGTGGGTTTTTCGGGCTCTTTGGCCGTATTCTGAAGTTTGTTCTTCCTGACATTTTGCCAGTCTCTGTCGTCGGCATCTTCAGAGGACAGGAGTAGGAACTCTGTGCTCTGGTGACCAGACATCTGAAGATCCCAGCCACAGAGACTGGTGAAATGTTAGGAAGAACAACCTTCAGAACGCGACCAAAGGGCCCGAAAAAACCACAACAACCAAAACACCTTTCTCTTCAGGCAGGCTTTTCTTTAGTGATTGGCAGTCCGATATGGTTTTTTTTTTTTTTTTAATTGGATTCTGGTCTTCTCTTCAGGCAGGCTTTTCTTTAGTGATCGGCAGTCCAAGAGGGTTTCAAAAAAAAAAAATTGGATTCTGCTCCTTTGTTGCTTTTAAATGTGTTTTTAGTATTGATTTTACTTACTATTTTAATACGATACCTGTTTCATTCTTTTTTAAATATTGTATATTTTAATACGATACCTGTTTCATTCTTTTCAAAATATTTGTATATTTACTGGTCTTAGCTTTTAAACATTTCCTTTTAATGCTGTAAGCCACTTTGGGTCCTTTTGAGGAGAAAGGGGGGGTATGTATGTATAAATGAATGAATGAATGAATGAATGAATGAATGAATGAATGAATGAATGAGTGAATGTGTGAATGAATGAATGAATGAATGAATGAATGAATGAATGAATGAATGAATAAATAAATAAATAAATAAGGTGAGAGGTACATATGCACACTGACTTATAGTGCTGTTTCCCCTTCCTTCAGCATAGCTTTACAAGGCTGCCGGCTACTGTTAACCTCAAAACAAATATGGGAAATGGAGAACTATCGATTTGGCAGTTTGTGCCAGTCCGTTCATCATCCAACCTGGTGTTTGGCATTTCAAAGCCCTTCCTCTTCTGACAGGGGCCCCATTCAGAGGCAGCGCCCAGAGGAAGCAGAGCAGGGAAGCCAGGCCGCTACCTCTGAGCGGGCACCCACTAGAGGAGGTGAGGCTTTGAAGCACCACACGCTTGTTCAGCCGACAAAGAAACCGCCATGAACCGCCAAACTGGAGGTTCATGCCCACCTCTAATGCGAAGTCTTGCTCATAGGTCTCCCATGTTAGGTCTTGTTTGGCTTATCCGATTCTCTCCCTGTTTGTGGCAGTCTTGCGCCTGTTTTATTGCCATGACCCATGGCAGCAGCAGAAGACATAACATATGGACCCCATCACGGGATCTCCTCATCTTATTCTTCTACTTCTATGGTCTTAAAAAGCAGCCAGCATGACCAGGGATGTGCTGAATTTTGCTCTGCATCAAGGAGCTTCAACCCAGTGAACTTTACTAGTTACACCTAGTGGCCTGGTGTGCTCTGGTCCATGGGATCACGAAGAGTTGGACACAACTTAATGACTAAACAACAACACCTATTTAAATTATTGGAATATATCTTACCTTGTTGACTAACAAGTTTCATTAATTTTGATAGTTCTAACCAAGTTGAAATTATAATACCATTGGCACAATAATACAATATATTAATTGTATACGATACATATATCTTAATACAACATGACACAAGGAGAGATAGAAGAAAATAGATTTTGAATGCTTCGAGTGATAGTTAAGCCACTGCATTTTTTCTAGGCTCATTCACTAAGATACGTTGCCAGGTTAGTCAGCAGATCCTAGACAGTATGTTTTTCAACAGGATGTGGGAAAGACAAAAATAAAACAGATGCTAAGGGAAATTAAACTGCCGCCACCCCAGTTTAAGACACAGCTTTAACCTTAATGCTTAAAAATGGCAATGATATCCCCCAGGCCATGATTCAATTTATTTTCGCAGATGAACATATGGATGGGTTAATTTGGAATCCATTTCCTATAGTTCCCGTAAAATATGTGACGCTACATCTGCATTTCTCTCTCACACTGCCTCAGTGTAAGGGATGAGGAACAGACAGCTGTACCTCTTTGAAATTAACACGTTAAAAACAGTTAAGGCCATGTTGACTTTAACATTTCTCCAGAATTAAATTAGTATTAGTATGCTGATGGTTTTCTTTCTTAAGCCAGGAAAGTTGCATGATACAAAGAGAAGAAAGAACTCTCCACAGATTGTCCTGTCAGCTGCTCCAGGAGATCCATCTTCACTGAGAGATGAAACTTGCTAGGTGACTTTGGGTATTCCCACGCTTTGATCCCGAGCTTCCTTTTTTGTTTTGTTCTCAGGATAAAGTAGGGAAGAGGAAAGCCATCTACACTGTCTTAGCTCACTGGTGAGGTATAAATACATTTTAAAAATATACGAGCTAACCATAGCAAGTATGAGAACAATGGTTGCTGTGATTTGGTATGAATCAATGCAAGAAGCATCCATCTGGAGGAAGGTACTCAAGGTATGTCTAAATCTGAACCTCTACATACAACATTTGCACACACAAATTGTATGCAGATTGCCACTCTTTGGCAGCCTTTATTGGAGGAGGCGGAGGAGGCAGACGGCCGTTACAGAGAGATCATGCCAATTCATCTTGTTGGCTCTCTGAGCTCGGAGGTTACAAGAGACAGGACTGAAGTTCTGTGAGAAGCAATCCTCAGGTGATCAG